GGGGGAGGAGAATAGAGGGAGAAGAGGCGGTCACTAAGGGAGCAAAAGCCGGAAGCTGGTAGGAAAGAACAGACGAAGGGCAGTGACTAGCTTCAGAGGCAGGATCCCTTAAGAGAGGAGGGAAAGAAGAAGACAGGTAGGGACATAATACTCGGAGACTCTGGTGAACAATAAAACCAAGCTCCGGATGGTACAGATCTTGGCAGTTACTTATCCATTTCTTCCTGCACTAACCCTTGACCTTGTATCAGGTAGTTCATATATACGTAAGTGGCTGTCTCTGTAGTCGTAAGCTCAACCGCGGCTGCAGGACCATCTTGTAACCTGAATTTCTATGGAGAAAATCAAGAGGAAGCATCAAATGCAACAGAGCCTCATCACGACTTCCATCTTTATGGGTCTCCCAGTGGATCTGGATCATTTGTTTTACAAGCTCCAAGGCCTTTTGTATTCTGTGTCCCTGCGGATGGGCGGCCGTTCACAATTCTTTATAATTTTCATCAGAACCAGCAGGGTAATAGGCACTCCCCAAAGGACTGTAGATAACAATACGGGGTGCCTCTTGGGAAGGAGCTTTTCCCGGGGCAGTACACACACCACAGGCATGCCCGGAACCCTGGCCAAGTCAGCTCAAAGGCAGAGGATCCCCAATTCTTGCTGTGTACTGGAAACACCTGGGGATTTAAAAAAACAAACAAAAAACATGATGTCTGGCTCCCACTCCCAGGCATTCTGATTTAACTCGTATGGGTGCAGCCTGGGCAGTAGGATTTTAATAAAGCTCTCCAGCTGATTCTAGCACGTAGCAGGTTTGGGAATCGTTGCTACAAGGCTCTGTTTGTGAACAATGGCCCCAGCTCCGGAGCTTCTGCGTACCCTAGTCGCTCAGGAAACTCCCCCGTAGTCATGGTGGCTGTCTGCGAATTGAACAAGGACAGCCGCACAAAGACTCAAAGCTCTGGATCCTAGCCATCTTAGTTCATCTCTCTGCCCTCTGGGACGCGCCTAGAGGTTGGGGAGGCTCAGCCATCTCCTGCGGCCCACCAAGCTGACACCAACCAGGCTACGAGGTGGTCCGCGGGGTCCCTGGTTCCTCGTGTGTGGATTCCCAGAACTAGTAAAATACACCTCCAGCCTCAGAGACAGCAGTGCTGAATTTTTATTTCATACAGATATTTTTAAAAACGCAACCATCTACTCTAACCACCATTTTGCTTCAGACCAGACATCTTCACCCCCAAAATACAGAAAATACATAATTTCAAAACAGACAGGTCTTTAAACTGAATATATGTAATTTTATGAAGATCTCACTGCAGCTGTCTTTATTTTTCTCACTTTGTCTCAAACAGGTGAAAACTTTGTCAAGCATCAGCACGAAGGAACCACCGTGCCAGACACATTTTCCTTCATTTATAAAACGTGCAACGGACTAAAGGATCCCATGGTTCTTTTGATTCTAGCTTTATAGGATTCTACAATTCCATGCTTTGAAAACTGCCCATCCCTGTACTCCTCACTACAGAAGTGAAGCTTTTCTGGCAGGCCGGTTTTAGAAACATCCAGTAAACATTTTTTATTCCTGTATGTGTGTCAATGGCTCCCCAAAATGACCATTTCCAAAGAGACCTACCAGTACACAAATCGAAGCCGCCCCCATGAGGAAAGGGCCTGCCTGGCCTCACAACCAATCAGGTGTCCTTAGATAAGGACTTTTTCTGTGTAAGGAGCTACATACCAACTTCTGAAACATGCACAAATTTACTCTATACTCTAGCATTAGCACACATACACACACACACACACACACACTCACAAATCAGCACAGCTCATGACGGGCTCCCAAAGGGAGAGCTCGGACTTCATGTTTAAGCTGACAAAAGAGAAGGAAGGTCTCCCTGTCTCAGGCAAAGTTGGCTTCCCAAGTAAAGTTATCATCACAAGCACCCTAACCTTTCTTTGGAAGAAGGTTATTAGGGAACTCTCCTCAAAGCTCCTAAGCGTCCAGAAAGTACTCAAAGCAGTCTTGTGCTGTACCTGGCCACAAGGTGGGAACCTGGGCTAGCCTCATTGGCACCAACAAGATCAAGTGGTCAGTGAATGGCGCAGACTCAGGGAGACCAAAACTCTCTCAGGCCCCACATGCCGAGCATCAGTGCAGTCTCCTGCTCACCTTTGGGTTCTTTTTAATTTTTTTAAATATCACCATCACAGAGCATTCCGTGGGGCTTGACACCTGAAAGGAGGTAACTGAATCCCAGCGGCGTGAACCCCAGCTGAAGTTCACCAGCACTGCCCCGTAAGAGGGGAAGCATGACCCAAAGAGGGTCTGTTCTGTGGCTCAAACGTTCCCTAGCAATTGTTTTCCAATCTGGAGTCCGGAGATGTAGTCTTGGGATGGCAAGTTCCCTTCATCAATATTTAAATTTTTAAAAAACTTTTGATGGTCAAAAATTAATGCACACATATTTTGGACCATCTGGTTGACCATCTTCTAACCAAATGCCACCACCAGAGGTCAGCGCCAGTGCCTTGGGGCTCACAATTGCATGGTAAAGTTGTTCTTACTACCTGAATCATCATGGCTAAGGCTTGCTGCTCAATCAACTGGGAGCTTGTAAGAAATAAGCAGCACTTCAGACGTCACCCCAGTCCTACGGAATCCACAAGTCATGTGCGTGAAAGTGTGAGGAGCACTGAAGTGGAGAGAAAGGGACAGAAGAGGACCAAACATCACTAACCCAGTCACACCCAGCGGAGGCCAAATAACAGCACAGCATCCTGCACAAACATTCAAAGGAATCCAAACGGAACTAAGGGCTGA